ATCAGTTTTTAAAAACAACCATTCCTAGTTCATTAAAGGATAGCCAATTACATCAAATCCCAGCTCCTATTGCATTTTATTTTCCAATTAGGAGTATTCAGGAGACAAGAACACAAGTTGTAGTATAAACTGTACACCTGATTCCCGGTACCAAAAAAATAAAAAACAAATAAATAAACTGTACATTTATATACACTTGCAAGATAAAAGGACATAAAAGACATACAGGTTTTTATCCAACTAAATCACACAAAGTTTGTTTCCAGATTTTTTTTATTAATATTACAAATATAATATTAAATATACTCACTTTCTCTTCTTATTCTACCCTTAAATCTTAACTGGAATCTATGACTAAAAACAGCTAGAATTAATACACAGAGACAGGGATACCTATTTAAAATAAGTCTCTTAAGAATGACTGCGTGGTGATACAACTCCATAATCTCAGCACTCGTGAGGCTGAGCCAAGAGGATCACAAGTTCAAGGAAAGTTTGGGCTATGTAGGGAGTTCAAGGCTGCCCCAGACTATATAGTGAGACAGTCTCAAACAAAGAAAAAAAAGGGAATAATTGCAATTGTTCAAAACACACCTGAATGATAATAAGAAAAGGAACACAAATTGAAAACAAGTAGATACTTGTGAATTATCATGAATGTAAACCCAGCAAGGATGGACAGTGTTGATAAGTACAGATTGAGCAGACAGGGACAGGGGAAAAGGCAATGAGCATGGGAACATACAGCAGTACAACTAATACTCCAAGTTACAAAACACATTTCCCAGCTCTACGTACAGCCAATCATGGCGGCCATGTAACTCAGCTCAGGTTATCATGATGCAGTTAGTGTGGTGTGAAACTTTCAGGTGGGACAGACCCGCCTTCACTGCCATCCACGCCCTAAGAAACTGTCTTAGACATGGGGTGCCCTGGAGTGTGACACTAGTTGCCATGTGCTTTGGAACTGGAAAAGAACAGTAGCCTATGTCTCCAAGATCTTTGTGGAGCTCCCACAACACCCAGAAATGCTTCCCTCTGGACTTCGTGCAGAATAAATACCCATGTGATTAAAGCACTGGCTGAACCTTTCCAAACAAAAGTGATTCCTAACTGATAACAGAATCAGGCTTCACAGACCAAGGCTTGACAGATAAACACAGCGCTTCTCCCTCTGCTCCAAGGTTTCACTTTATAGTTTCATTTACCCAGGGTCACCCACAGTCCAAAAATATTTAATGGAAAATTCCAGAAACAAGCAATTCATAAGTTTTAGAATGCACTGCATCCTGAGTAGGAGGATGAGATCTTGTGCTGTCCCACTCTGTCCTAAGCAGGATGGGGGTCATCCCTTTGTCTAGCGTACTCACGCTGGACATGTCACCCGCCCCTGTCACGTAAGGACATTTCAGATATTGAACTGGTTATACTGCGGTACTGGTGCAGCAGTAACCGCAGATCGCAGCCCAGTACTGTCACAGTGTCCACGGCATTCACCCCACTTCCTATCAGCACTGGCACTGTGCTCTCTCCCTCCACCTCAACTAGGGTGACAACAGTTGATGGTGACAAGAAGATGCTCCGAGAAAGAGGCCACCTTCACCTTTCATTACAGGATACTGTTATCACTGTGCTATGCTATTGATATTGACCACCTATGGTGCTTAATTCATATAAATTGAACTTCATGATGGACATAAACATAAAAGAAAAAACAATGCATACTATCTAAGGTTTGAGGTATCCACTGGGGGGTCCTAAAAAACATTCCTTGAAGGGGGCTGGGGATTTAGCTCAGCGGCAAAGCGCCTGCCTGGCAAGCGCAAGGTCGTGAGTTCGGTTCCCGGTACCGGAGAAAAACCAAAACCAAAAAAAACAAAACAAAACAAAAAAAACATTCCTTGAAGGTAAGGGAGGACTAGCACATAGAAAGACAGAGTCACAGAGAGAAATCCAGGAGACACTGACAAGTCCAATAAGCAGGTTAAGCAAAAGCACATTAAATATGGCCGAGGATAATGCTCAGTGGCACTGCACCCGCCTGGCAAGCACAAGGTTCTGAGTTCGATTCCCTGTACAAAAAAAAATACATTAAATATAACATTTAAATTTTTTATAATGAGTAAGTAACATGTGTGTGTACATAGAGAAAAAAGTCTGGAAAGTTACTCAATTGTAGTATTACCTGAGGTTACTTCTAGGAATAAAATTATAAGACTATCTACTTCCTTTATCACTAATTGGAATTTTAATGGTATTTTGGTAGGACTTTCATAATTAGAATAAAATATCCCTTTTAACTGATACACACATATCTAGCCAGGTTGTAATGCACACCTGTAATCCCAGCCCTTAGGAGGCTGAGGCAGGAAGATCACTGCTACCAGTTTGAGGCCAGCCTGGACTACATAGTGAGACCTTATCTGAAAACTACAAAACAAAACCTAAAAAAATACCACCCTGGCTTTAATTTGTGATTTCATTATAAATTTCTGATTTTAATTACTTGTTATAATGACGTTTTTAGAGAAAATTGTACTTTCGTTATCAATGTCTTCATTTTTGGTATACAAAATATATTTAAGGCAAATCTATTTGATTTTTTAATGTTGAATTGTAATATCATTACTAGAAAGGGCGCTACCTTATTGTAATCTAGTGAATCATTATTAATCTCAAAGATAAATATTAAATAACATATAAATAACATGTACAAACACTAGAAGTAGAAACAAACGATAAACCTATTAATAAACCACATCCTCAAGGTTCATAAAGATTCACATAAAAAAGAAAGGCTTTCCCCAACTTATTAAAATAAATTTTGGAGCCGGGCATGGTGGCACATGCCTGTAATCCAAGCACTCAGGAGGCTGAGGCAGGAGGATCACTGCGAGTTCGACACCAGCTCGGGCTATAAAGTGAGCTCAAGGCCAGCCTGAACTGCATAGCGAGACCCTGTTTCAAAAAGACAAAACAAAACACAAAATCAAATCAAAGGGAAATGTGGGCCTGGGGATGTAGCTCAGTACAAGGCTCTTGGCTCAATCCCCAGTACGGTTAAAAAAAAAAAAGGTACAATAAATTTTGGAGCCAGGGGTGGTGGCTCACGCCTATAATCCCAGCACTCAGGAGGCTGAGGCAGGAGGATCACTGTAAGTTGGAGGCCAGCCTGGGCTACAAAGTGAGCTCAAGGCCAGCCTGAGATGCATAGCAAGAGCCTGTCTCAAAAAGACAAAAATAAATGAATAAATAAATAAATAATAAGTTTTGGGAGCTTGGCATAGTGCTACGTGCCTATAACCCCAGGAATCTGGGAGGCCCAACCAGGAGGATGACAAGTATGGACCCAGCCTAGGCAATCTAGATTTGGCAAGACCTTTGCTCAGAAAATAAAAAGGTCTGGGAGCACAGCTCAATGGGAAGACCCTGGGTTCCTCTGTGATAAGTCACAAGGCAACCCCACCCCCTGCAAGGGATTTAAGCTCTTTTATTAAGGAGTTAATAAAAACTCCTTCCTCCTTACCTGTTCCCCTCCAGTTCCCCTCGACAAAAGCCAACCTCGCCCTCACTCACCTTGGCAGAACCACATGTTCAACTCTGACAAACACCACCCTCGCTCGGGCTGTTCTGACCCACAGACACCCGCTGCTCCGGCTGTTTTGGCCCACAGACATCCCCTCCCGGAAAATGTTCTGGCCCATTCCGACACGCTCCCCAAAAGTTAGCTTTAAAACCCCATGCTTTGCTCAGCTCAGGGCTGTCCTACTCCGCTAAGCAGCCCGCCATGTTGCTCCCCCCAATAAAGACTCCTCTCGTGTCAGAAAGTCTGGTCTAGTTCTGTGTAGGTCTCGGCCCGATCATATCACTCTGTACTGCACAGAGAGAGACAGAGAGACAGAGAGAGACAGAGGGACAGAAAGAAAAAAATTGCGGCTGCAGCAGCTGGAGACGCAGGCTTGGGGCCTGGGACACCCTCCCAGCGCTGTGGAACTGTGGAGATGCCGCGCCCTTTGGCTGTGGGCAGATCAAAACGAGGCCGGCTGAGAGGAGCCCTCTGCCAATCGCATCCAGCTGGCGCGGCCGCCAGTTCTGCCCACCCAGCCCCAGCCCCTTCCAAGCGGTGGCCCACTTTCAGGGAGTCGTGTATCGCTGGGCTCTCCCTGTGTGCGGGCAACCGCAGTGTCCTCTGAGCCGCCTTTTCACTTACCCACCCCAGGAAGCCTCCCCTGAAGCCCTGTTCTGGGCTGACTGGCTCTCTTTGGGTTCCCATAACGACAAGCGCCTTTTCCCGTCGCCACACCCCCTGGTCCGTTTAGCGCTTACTTACTTTTCCGCCTTCCCCACTAGTGCGTGGTTCAGTTTTAAGTCTTTGGCAGAGTGCCTGGCCGCAGAAATGCTGTCACGCTAGTTCTTCAACGAAACGTTAAGCAGAATTGTGAAGTACTAACAAAAATAAATAAACAAATAAAACTACTCCGAAAGGAGTGGGAAGGGAATGTCCAGAAAAAAAAGAAAGAAAGAAAGACAGAAACAGAGACAGAGACAGAGACAGAGACTGAGAATGAATTGATGGATAGATAAGCAAACAAACAGGTAAACTGACTGTGTAAAAGACTTCCCTGGAGTGATTCATGTACTGAGTAACGTAACAGTATAGACTGATATAGAATGGTAGTAACTACTCCTTTCTAAAAGAAAAGCATACTAGTAGTATAAAATTTTTTTAAAAATCTGTGAATCTATGGCATGGAAATAACTATTCATCTAAGCACCAAGAAGGAAATAAAAAGTTCACACAGATAAGAAACTGCCTAGATGGGGAATAAGGGTGAGTAATCTTAGCCATGTTTTCTCCTAAATTCACCCACTGATCTCACGGTTTGCAACCCCAACAGGCGTCTCCAAGACATGCTGCCTCTTCTCAGATGCCCATCATTTTCTGTCTGACTCCCCAGGGAAGAGTGGGGTCTCCGTTTTGGGGAAGGACACGCACTCACCTTCCCACTGGCCGGTCAGCACCAGGCTCCTATTAATGACCACGTCAATTTCCGTAGCCCCGTCTTCCACAGCTAATCGGATCTCTTCTAATCGTGTTTTTAAATGAGTCTGTGCAGCCGGAAAGCCAGTGGCCACTAAACAGAATGGAAGGGAGGAAAAACAGAAGTGAGGAAAGGAGACGGGAAGGTAGAGAAATAGAGGGAAAAAAGCAAATTTCAACTGGTTAGTAACTAAACAAAGAATTTCATTTCCAACCCACCCCCCAAAAAACACCCAACGTTTAGAAACCAAAGCATTAATGACACTTGAGAACATCATTTATACAGCTGAGCATGGTGGCATAACTCTATTATTCTAGCTTTTGGGAAGCTGAGACAGGAAGGATCACAAGTTCAAGGCCAGCCTGAACTACAGAAATCCTGTCTCAAAAAAACAAAACTAAAAAGGACTTCACTTATAACATAAATGTGAAGAAAGAGAATGTTATGTCACATTGCTTTGGTGTTAGGACAAATATTAATATTATATTCTCTGGAGGACCTCAGATTAAGATGTGCAGAGATGCTTATGAGGGTATACTGAGTAACTAGCAATGAAGAAAACATGTTCTCAACACGGCCCCAGTCATAATAGTAGGTGTGGACTGCTTTGATGAAGACTAGTTATTCAGGATCCTATTCTTGATTGAGTTGGCCATCTTCATGTACTCATTTACTGCTGATTTAATCTTGATTTATTCACTTGTGAACAAACCTCGTTAGCTGTAGAAAACAGATTATAATATAATTTCGTCCCACTGCCTGTCTTAAAACAACCAGTTAGGCACAAGATAATAAAGGATAGAAGGTATGAGAAGGAAAAGCACCTACTAGGTCCAGAGGATTGCAGAACAGAGCAGGCAACTAGAAAACCAGGAATAAAAAAAATGAAAACGTATCTGCACTTGCCAAAAAGTTTTATTTTTAAATGAGAAGAAAATGGAAGTACATCAACATTTTTTGAAAAGTATTAATATTTTTATATACCATTCATCCCATTCCTGTCTGTAAAAACCTATTGTCTTCCCTTTCCCTCTTCTAATATCTTTAAAAGTAGAATCTAATTTCGAATCTGTCTATCCGTCCTTCCATCTGTCTCTCCCTCCACCCACAGACAGAGTCACTAAAATGAGACTTGGGAATGTCTCCTCGCGCCTACCAAGTGCCCCTGCCTCTACCTTGAGTCAGGGACTCCCGCAGGTGCCACCCCTCATGTGTCTCCTGGGCTTCTCCTCTCCCACAGGGTCTGGCATGAGTTCCCCTAATTCCACTTTTCCCCTTTCTCATTTGTCTCTGGAAGCTCATCAAGCCACATCTATACTTAAAACCTTTCAGAGCCACCCTTGTCACCCGAATAAAGCTCAAATACCACAGCACTGCAGGAACGGCCTGTGCCACCGGGCCCCGAGACACCTCTCCAGCTGCAACTCCCGCGGCTCCCACGGCACCTTCCTCTCGAATCCAACTACTGCAAACGCCTTTCAGTTCCTGAACACGCTCCTGTGGCTTCACAGGTTAGCTCCTCTGTCCAAATGCCATTCCCTCCTGCCAACACTGTCAACTCCCCTCCATCCTTAGGGCCTGAAATAATGATCCTCTTTGCTAGGATGCATTCTCTCACTCTCTGAGTGCCAGCAACCTTTGTAAAACAAATCATTCCCTGCTCAGAGTTACAAGTGTACCTTCTGTACATCTTCATTACTGTATTTTCCGTTACATGACAGCCATATATCTACACCAGAATAATACGCATACGTGGGTATGTAGAACACTACACCACACACTGTAATTTTTCCACCTGATTGTCCCTCTTACATGAACTAAATTTCCTTAAAGATGAGGATATAGTTCTATATTCTTCAGACTTAAGGTATGTTCTTCACCAAATAATGAAAAAATACTAAAATCAGAGGTCAGTATAACTAATATAAAATTAATTTAAATACTGGTATAAATGTATGCATAATATCCCACACTGTCTGAGTTGATGACAGGACCATGTTCAAAAATAACAAAAGCCACAACCAATCTTACCTGATGCCACCGGGATGTCACAGCCAGCTGCCTTCAGGGCTTTCACAGCATCACAAACCCGGGCAGGATAAACACAAACAGCAGCCGTAGTGATGCCTTCGAAGGAAGAAATCATAACAGCCTACTTTATATGAAGTTCAACTCACACAATATGCTTTTAATTACTGTTTATACTACAACATTGGCAGAAATCAAAATGAGAGAAAAACTAATTCCCCCACGATGCGGCAATAAATTAAAAGGTTTTTCCTTTCTACACGGCCATGCAGTTCTCGAAAACAGGGTTCATTTTCTGACGCTATGCTCAGGGAAACAATTTTGATACATTGTTCTTGGAGGCTAAGACTACACACTATTTTGTTTACATTCCTGAAGGATAGTCGGTCATTGTGACTCAATGAAAATATTTTACTTCATGGAAAAGATAAAAACTAGGTTTGTACAACATTCAAAGAGGACAAAGGATGAAGAAAAAGGTAAGTGAAATTTACAGGGTTACAACAAAGTGACATGTAACTACACTTCTTTTTTCTTTTGCAAGAAATAAAACCTGAACCTGGAGCCCTCATCTGAAGGTATACGTGCTTCAATTTGAAAAAAATAAAAATTAGCTACTACAAAACCAAGCAGTATCATAAACTCACACAAAGTTGTTACTTTTAGTGCTATAGATAAGGTGAGAGTTCCTGGTTGTGTTTTGCTTTGTATTCTGGTGCTGGGGATTGAACCCTGGGCCTCGCACACACTAAGCATGTGGCCGTCACTGAGTTATACTCACAATCCCAATAAGGTGTTTTACTGTCAGCTAGCAAGAAACATAATCAGTACTTCTCAAATTACTGCGATGCCTGCATTATGCTAGTGTGATACCTTTATCCGCATTTATTACAGGCAGCAGCACTATGGAACCAAGAAGTATCCGTCCACAGAGAGGAGATCTGGCTCCTAAAGCCAGGACACTAAACAGCAAGACAAGTTGGAAAGACCTCTTAGCCTTCCATTTCTGTTTCCTCACTTAGAGAGGAGGGAAAGAGCCAGGCATAGGGTGGTGCACGCCTGTAATCCCAGCACTCTGGGAAGCTGAAGCAGGGGGATCACAAGTCGGAGGCCAGCCCAGGCAGCTCTGCAACTTAAGAAGATCCTATCTCAAAATAAAAAACTTTTAGAACAGTATGGGGATGCAGCCTTGGATTCAATCCCCCAGAGAGAGACAGAGAAACAGAGAGAGACTCCATTTCTAAAATTAAGCTCCAATCTTACGGCAACTTTAGAAATTCTTTCCTGTGCCTACTGAGGAAGTGAAAGACCTAATATACGAGCATGCAATATTTACCATTTACATTTTACTCTCTAAAGTATTTCATTTACTCACAAAAAATACTTTTATGTATGAGATGTGATTATTAAGTAATGAGACGATCTTGTTCACATGTGGCTAGGGAATCAGAATCAGTATTTTAGAGTCACTAGATAGAAAACTTCCAAAGGTGAAGAGTTGAAAAGAAATATAAGAAAACTCTCAACCAGAAACTTCAATCCGTCGATAGAACTGACCTAAAAACAAGCCTCAGATTCCCTTCATGATATTTTTCAAGGAAGAATCACAAGTATTTGTTTATATGCACATGGCCAGGGTTTTAATCACAGACTTTATCACTACTGTCATCTCTGCAGCTGAATCTTAAGCTCTCTTGGAGCCAGTAATTAGTACTATAAGCAGGCAAACACCAAATGCATTACACAGAACATTACCTTCATCATACATATTTAAGGCTTTTAAGAGATCTTCCCGAATTGGGTATTTGGCTTTATAACAGAGCCTTTGAATATTGGAAAAGGTATCATCACCGGACAGTGTAGTGAGATCTATACAGGTAACCGCTTTGAGGAGCCAAGCAGCCTGGTAGGAAGAAAAGAAACAGAAAGCAAATAAAAAATAAAATTAATTTCCAACTCTATGGATGGAACATCATTAGACAAATAGGGATACTAATATGTGACATTTACACTGTTCTAAGGTATATTATGATATAGGATATAAACAGAATTCAAGATGAACCTTACCAGCATCAAACAGACAGGAAAAGTAGCCTTCCACTGTTTTCTCCCACAGGTAGCCCACACTGAAACCTCTAATTTACCACATGTCCCACTTCTGACTTCACCTTCGCATTCACTGCGGAGCCTGCAACGGCTACACGGATCGAAGAACTCTGGCAGATTTCTATCTTAATTTTTGCTCCCACTCTAGAGTCAGAGAGGAGACATTATTTTTAAAAGTCTCTGAGTGACTTGTTGATTCCTTTCAATTTAACTCAATGCCATTTTTAAAACAATCATCGTTATTTCACAACTCATTCTGACGAATTTCCTTTTATCTTTTCAATCAGACTATTTCCAAGGATGAGCAAAATGTGAACTGTCACTCTGAAGGATTCAATCCCATTATCCTGCCTCCCTCGGGGAAGGGACTCTCAATTCCATTTAGACCTGCACAGCATGTCTGTGGCTGCTATATGCCGAAGAATATGCTGACCACGAGGACTCTGCAGAACACTGTTTTGGGAATTTTGAAAAATGACATATTAAAACTAACAGGAAGGTAAACACGATGTCAAAGCAGGTCAATTTTCATACCTCCAGGCCTCAACAGTAGACATAGCGGGTTTAGATGTTATGGCTTTAAAATTAAAATAGAAGACAACCGAAGAAGGCATGTCTAAGAAATTGAATAAGTGTGTGGAGAAAATACGCCATTTAATTCACTCATGAATAAAGATGCTGCAAATTCATTTGCGGTTTTGCCACTGAAGAGTGATAAGATTTTTAACTTGTTTGGATAAATGTGTTATCTTTCTCCAACCCGTCATCATCATATATGAATTATTAAAATAAGTCAGGGACAGCTGCAATCTTTTAAGTTTCGATGCATCTTGAGAAAAATTCAATACTGTGGCCTTGAGGGAAGAGGCCTCGCATTGTGAAACGCAGGTACGGGATGCTCAAGAAGAACCCTTACCTGCCACTCCTTCTTCACAGTTCTGCGAGCCTGGATTTGTTCCGCCCGCCTCAGCACTGCCGGCTGATTCACTTGTATTTTGGAGATCCAGCTAAGGTCTACAGGAGAGAGAACACCACTTTCTGAAACTGCAAAGTTTAAACACAGTCACCTCCAGTTACAGAGTACTTGAAAGGACACATTCATCATTTGATATCAATGTTGTTCTCAAACACACGCTTCTTTTTTCCGCACAACAACTACATAATAACCTTGTTGGAGGAAGGCAGGTCACCACAAGGCACACTTCACATACATCAAGTGCACTGGGAGCCTGAAGAACCTGTATCGATTCCCTGCACAGACAATAATAACTGGGGGGGGGGGTGTTGTGCACCCCACACCATGTGCCTCCTGACGGCAAAGACTTATATGTGAATGTCTAGTCCCAGAGAGCAAATGATTAATACATATGTGAATTAATGCAGGGGCTTAAAGGAATCCTTGATTACTACCCCTTTACTGACAAGATTAATATCAACTAGATAGGATAGGATACAACCCATCAAAGGAGGATTTTTCAAAACATATTAGAAATAACAATATTGATATACCAGAAGTTAGAAAAAAGGGAAAGCAAAAAGCCACTCAAAGTTTGGGAGACATCTCTGCGGCTTGTATTCTAAAAGCTCTTGCTCCTGCCTGGTCTTAAATTCTCTTTCTGCTTCCGGTTGACTGTATCCAGGCTAAGGTGAGCCAGCTCCCAGACACAGCTAACACCTGGATGCACCTCTGCCACACAGCAAGTGTTATACTCATCAAGCAGTGGTGGTGAAATGGTGCCTTACTGTACTCACCACACAGTGAGTCGTGATCTTTCTCACTGTGGGAATCATACATCCAACACCATGCCTAGTGCACACGTATTTCAACATCCTCCAATAGGGTCAGGGGTGTAGCTCAGCGCCACAAGTGCCTGTGTGGCAAGCGCAAGGTCCTGAGTTCGATTCCCAGTACCAAAAAAAAAAAATCCCTAACATCCTCCACTGATACCCAGGAACAGGTAGCCCACAGGATACTGTACATGTGCCCATTTACTCTCTGCAACTAAGCTCATTTCTATACCATCACTCCAGGGACTCCACAACATTGAAAAATCACCTTAGAGATCTTTAAAAGACTACAGAGAGTTATCCATTAGAAAAAACACCTCAATTACACAGCTTTATAATAGGATAGGAAAAAAACACTGATTGTGAACTTTACATAACACAAATAAAAATAAAGTACTTGTAGCTACCACAAAGATGAGACCAAGATAACCAGTATTTACCAAAGTCATTGTCTCCCGTTTCCATTTACTTCGTGAAAGTTTAATAGTAATGGTACAGAAATTCCTGGTTGGAGTCTGAATGTTTAATAATGATAGTCTTATTTAAACATCACTAACGAAGGAGCAGAGCTTGGGTGCCTTCTTTCTCTCTAATTAAATTATTTTGTTAGCTGAAATCATTTCATAAAACAGATTTTTAACATTTCAATCCATCTGCTCCTGCTTCTCACAGATATGTTTTCCTGTCGGTTTGCTCAGTCAACTTCACAGCCAACTTCACAGAGAAAAGGAGACGCTGGGGGTCACAGACACTCCTGCCTCTTCTTTCCCACCCAAAGGCTAGCTGGTTCTAGGCAGAGCTCAAGGGCTTAGGACCACACAGACGTACCAGACGTCTCCTAATTTATCTAAGACCTGGTACAACTTCCTCTTCGCAATACTGGAAAGGATCTTATTGCTTGATTGACTGATTGTGATTCTTTTAAAATCACTAATAATGGTAATTGGGGCTGGGGATTTAGCTCAGCGGCACAGCGCCTGCCTGGCAAGCGCAAGGTTGTGAGTTCGGTTCCTGGTACCGGGGGGG